CACAGCAAATATTAAATTAGAGAGAAAGGCAGTCCTTAAAGCTGAATTTCAATCCTTAACCAAATGGATGGCCTCCAGTTTGAAGGTTCAAATTAATTGTAACAAGAGCATGAAGAAAATCTTTTTGAGTTTTAAATAAGATATCAGAAGTTAGTGAGATGTAAACAGGATGATACCTGATGTTCGAGAATTGAACAATCATAAGCAACATCTATCCGCTGCTGCAGCCTCTTTAGACATTCCTCCTAATGCATGAGGTGAAATAGAGCATCAAAATCTAATGACTCAAAGTGTTACTCAGTCACTAGCCATAGTTAACTTAAACAAAAGAAAGAAGAAAAATGAAAGGACGAGAAACGGAGGCCATATCATCATCAGTATATTTGCTTCAGCTGTTCAACTACAAACTAGGGCTGTCCGTAGGTCGATTTGGTTCAGTTCTGAAGAAACCTGAACCGACCCAAAACTTTNCACAGCAAATATTAAATTAGAGAGAGAGGCAGTCCTCAAAGCTGAATTTCAATCCTTAACCAAATGGATGGCCTCCAGTTTGAAGGTTCAAATTAATTGTAACAAGAGCATGAAGAAAATCTTTTTGAGTTTTAAATAAGATATCAGAAGTTAGTGAGATGTAAACAGGACGATACCTGATGTTCGAGAATTGAACAATCATAAGCAACATCTATCCGCTGCTGCAGCCTCTTTAGACATTCCTCCTAATGCATGAGGTGAAATAGAACATCAAAATCTAATGACTCAAAGTGTTACTCAGTCACTAGCCATTAACTTAAACAAAAGAAAGAAGAAAAATGAAAGGACGAGAAACGGAGGCCATATCATCATCAGTATATTTGCTTCAGCTGTTCAACTACAAACTCATGAAGCACAAATGCATGAGCGATAGTCATGCCCATCTATTAATGTAAATATATCCTCTTTTAACAATTAAAGTTTTCCAGATCAGTTTTGAGATTAACGCGAGGGCACACCACATTTTAAGAATGTTCATTAATATGGTAACGAAAGCCACGCAAAGAATCAGGCAGAACAACAATGTGAGCAGTAACCGACATTAATATAAGATAACCAGACAGAAAGTTATAGTGCAAATTCTTCTCCCAAAAATTAGTTCGTATTTGTTGCCT